TACTACTACTACTACTACTACTACTACTACTACTACTACTACTACTATTACTATACTACTACTACTACTACTACTATTACTACTACTACTACTACTACTATTACTACTACTACTACTACTACTACTACTACAACTATGATAATTACTACTACTACTACAAATACTACTACTACTAGTACTACTACAAATACTACTACAACTACATATACTACTACTACTACTACTATTACTATTACTGTATCATAATCAATCTTTGTCAGATAAACTATGCAGGGGTGATTGACTGGATCTGTCATAGGAATTTGGGCTGAAGGCTAGGGTGATGGAAATGTGAATCTCCGTGACTGCACAAAGCTATTTGAATGTGATTAGACTCTTTGGCCTTTTGCATTATTTCCATTGAATGGCCGTGGAAGGCAGCATCTGTGAACAATGACTGGAAGAGCGCTGGCTCCAGGGAGCTTGCCATTTCCATGCTTCAGAGCCTATACATGCCTGCAGTGACTGACAGTTCAGGTTGAATGACAGAAATTGTAATATTATGAAAAAAGAATTTAAATGATACAATTAACAAAATGTTACTTATTGTTATTATTGCATTGAGTTATGGACCACCAAGAGAGATATGGAGAATGTGCTAGTTAAAAAGTCTTATCATCTAAATAAAGCAATATCAAATAACAAATATAATGCAGAAAATGGCAAAAAAAAAAGAAAAAAAAAAAAAAATACTTTGCAGAAAGAGAAAATAAATTTGAAAGGGGAGGTACGGGTCATGTCACCGCACACAAGTGTTTGTGTGCACATGTCATACAAGTAACATACCCATCAGAGTGACTGCTTAAATAAGCCTAATGACTGCATTTTTGGGCATGTGCTGCAGTGAAGCATCCAGATCAAAGGGGTTACACACGAAATAGTTTTATGTATAAAGTTGATGAAATTGTATATTCTAATTTGTGATGTACATGGAATTAAGAAATATGTTACATTCTTTCCAGCTCTTCATTGATGAAGCCAAACTTCTACCATTGTTTATGTTCTTGCCTGGTCACAAGAGAGGTGGCGGCAGAGGTGGCCGAGGTGGACGTGAGGTCGTGGTGTGTATCCGTTTTGTTGTTTTTATGGTCATTTATTTATTCATATTGTTTACTCATTTTAGTGTTTTTAAGATTTCTTTTTTTAATAATTATTTTTGTATGATCCTCTATACCCCTCAGATAATTGCTGGTGTACTGTAGTTTATCACTTCTTTTTAGATATATTTTTCATTCACATGTTCACTTATTCCAGGTGGTGGACGAGGAGGGCGTGGAGGAGGAGGAGGATTTGGCCGAGGTGGAGGCGGAAGGGTGGTGGAGGTGGTTTTGGACGAGGTGGCGGTGGAGGATTTGGACGTGGTGGTGGAGGAGGATTTGGACGCGGAGGTGGTGGAGGATTTGGACGAGGTGGTGGAGGAGGAGGATTTGGACGTGGTGGAGGAGGATTTAAAAGATATTAATTTTATATTGTTGAAATTAGGTTATATATTTTACTTGTAATTTCTGTTATTGATACAGCATTCTGTAGCAGAATAAAAAGAAATATTTTGTTTAAGCAGTATATTCAGCATTGACAACATGTTAACATGTAACAGAAGGCCTGCACATTGTATGATTTAAAGATTGATATGCTACAGAGTATTAGCTTTGGACATATTGTTCACATTCTTTGTTGGATGCTACTGTTTGATTAGAAATGGACCACTTATAAAAAGATATAAAGAATTCCAAGAATGAAATGTTACACTGATAATATTTATACATTGTGGGATGAGTATAAGAAATGAAAGTTTTTTAAAACTTTGTGTTTATTTACCTTTGCTGTTACAGATTACATGTTCATGTATTTTTTTATTATTTTTATTAATATTTTTACACAAGTGTTCTTTGGAATTGTATTTTGGTTAAGATATTAAAAATTATTTCTTCAACACATTCTTAAGATTTTTTGAAGTCTGAAAAAAATGAAAAAAATGTTTAGGACTTTTTTTTATAAAAAATATGTGCATGATTTTTTTTTTAATGTAAATGAAACATTGAGAAGATTTGTTGATTATGTTTCTCAACAGTAATTTGAAGTTTGAGAGAAAACGAAGCTTGAGTATTAACATTCTGATGATGAAAATGATCAGTGAAATTAAAACATACTATTATTCATCACTTTTATGCCATGGTTTCCACACTTGTCAACTGTTTCTGTATTTTGTGGTGTTCAACAATAAGAAATCCAGCCCTGCAAGTATTAGACTATGTTTGTGGTTTTCCTCTACTTCATTCACTCTGATGCTGTGAGGAGAGGCTAAATGTGTGACCCTTTTGAAAATAGGAGTAAAGAGTGTAGAGGTTCAGCATACCTCAGTACCCACTTCCTAGATGCTGCTACTGTATGGCTTGGCTTGAATGCATTTGTGAGTGTTATAAACACAAATATGTGGGATACATATGGCTACATGTCTTAA